TTAACTTGGAGAGGAAACAATAACAAGCTTGAAACAAAAGAAACAGAGGGGAAGAAGTAAAGTAAAACGACACAGCTTTGGTGATGTTTGCTAGCCACCTAAAACGCAGCCGGATTGAAGAGTGTCTTCAACCTTAGAAATCTTTTGACCGTTGCCATTGATTTTTAGGGATTCATTTCCTGTTACCCCCCCGCAAGCCGGTGGGCAGAGGTTCTGGACACCGAGCTTGGACAACAATTGGAGGAAGGGTCCTGGTGATAAAGGCTTAGTGAAGAGATCAGCAAGTTGGTGAGTTGAGGAGACATGGAATAGCTTGAGAATCTTCGACTGGAGCTTGTCGCGCACCAAGTGACAATCGAGCTTGATGTGCTTGGTGCGTTCATGGAAGGTAGGATTGTCAGCTATGTAAATCGCGCTTTGATTGTCACAATAAAGATGAGCTGGTTGTGGGTGCAGGACTTGGAAGTCTCGAAGCAGATAAAGGATCCATTGGAGTTCACAAGCAGAGAATGCCAGAGCTCGGTACTCGGCTTCGCAGGAAGAACGCGAGACAGTTTGCTGCTTTTTGCTCTTCCAGGAGATGAGGGATTCACCCAGGTAAACACAATATCCTGTGATTGATCTGCGTGTGTCAACGCAAGCAGCCCAATCAGAATATGAGAAAGCTTTAAGTTGAAATTGACCTTTAGATGAGAACAAGATGCCCGTAGCTGGAGCACATTTGAGATATCTTAGGATCCTTTGAACTGCTTTGAAATGTTGAACACTCGGATTGCCCATGAACTGACTCACTTGCTGTGTGGCAAAGCTGATATCAGGGCGGGTTGTTGTTAGGTAGATGAGTTTGCCCACCAAGGTTTGATAGAATTCAGGATCTTCAAAAGGCTGGTCACAGGTGCTGGTGAGATGAGTTTTGTAGTCCATAGGAGTTGTTACTGGTCTTGAGTCCAACAAATTAGCCTCTTCAATGATCTCAAGAGCATATTTTCTTTTAGAAAGATGAATACCTGAATTGTTTCTTGATACCTCCATACCAAGAAAAAACCTGAGAACACCTAGGTCTTTAATACTGAATTCAGAATGAAGGAAGTCTTTGAGTTGCTGAATTGCGACTAAATCATTGCCTCCCACCAATAGATCATCCACATAGATGAGGATGCAGGTATAACTTGAATCTGTGACCTTGTAAAATAAAGAGTGGTCTGCTTTGCTCTGAGAGTAACCAACATGCTGAAGTTTATCAGTGAGCTTAGAAAACCACTGCCGTGAGGCTTGCTTAAGGCCATAGATTGACTTCTTAAGTCGACAAACTGGATTTTGGAAACCAGGAGGTGGGGTATATCCCTTAGGTAGAGTCATGTACACCTCCTCTTGTAAATCACCATGAAGGAAGGCATTATTCACATCTAATTGGTGAATATGCCAATTCCTTAAAGCAGCAACAGCTAGAAAAGTTCTGATAGTAGTCATTTTAACAACTGGGGCAAAAGTGTCCTGATAATCAACTCCTTCCTGCTGTGTATACCCTTTGGCAACAACCCTTGATTTGAACCTTTCAATAGTGCCATCCTGGTGAATTTTGATTCTGTACACCCACTTATTACCAATAGGCTTCTTGCCTGGAGGCAGTTCAACAACATCCCATGTCTGATTTTGAATGAGAGCTCTGATTTCATGTTTCATGGAGTCATTCCACTCATTTGATTTAGATGCCTCTGTATAGGTAGTTGGCTCAACATAGGAAGATAAATTCATGACAAATGTCTTGTAAAATGGCGAGAGATTGTCATAAGAGACCATGGAAGAGAGGCCATACCTTGAGTCTTGGACCTGTTGCTGAAGGGAGTGACCTGTGCTACTAGATTGAGAGGCAAGGTAACAGTGGTAATCTTTGGTTAAATGAGTGGGAGGTTTTGATGGTCTAGCTGATTTTCTAGGCTGAATAGGAAGAGGAACTGAAGGGGGTGAAGGAGGATCTGAAGGAGTAGGGCTAGTGGAGGGTGTGGAGTGGGAGGTAGAGGAGGAAGTAGGAGAGGAACTGTTTGATGGAGATGGTGTAGTAGGTAGAGGATACAGAGGCAATGGTGTAGGTTGAGAAGGAGGAGGATCATGAAGGAGGGAACTGGTGGGTTCAGGAAGAGGGAAAAGGAGATCAAGGTCAGGGTTTGTGGTTGGTTGGGATTCAGAAGAATGAAATGGAAAATGAGATTCATAAAAGATTACATCCCTTGAGACAAAGACATCATGAGAATCAAGATCATAAATTTTGTAACCCTTTATACCAGGCTTGTAACCCAAAAACACACCCTTTCTATCTCGTGGTTGAAATTTGGTTATGTGATTAGTTAAGGTGGAGGCATAACACAAACAACCAAAAACCTTTAAATCAGTGAGGTCAGGGGAAATGTTGTATAGCTTTTCATAGGGAGTTTTGTTGTGAAGAACAGAAGAAGGGACACGATTGATAAGAAAAACTGCATGTTTAATGCAGTCACTCCAGAAACCAGGTGGCAGGTCAGCCTGGAATTTGAGGGCTCTGGCCACAGCAAGAATATGCTGATGTTTTCTTTCCACTCTACTGTTTTGTTGAGGAGTCTCAACACAAGACATTTCATGAATAATGCCTTGGGAATCATAGTAATCAGTCATTTCAAATTCCTTCCCTTGATCACTGCGAATTCTTTTAATTGTAGTTTGGAACTGCCTTTGCATTTGGTTGCAAAAGGCAATCAATTTTGGTCTAGCTTCTGATTTGAGTTGAAGCAGAATGACCCATGTCATTCGTGAAAAATCATCAACAATTGTAAGAAAGTACTTGTAGGAATCATAGGAAGGAACTGGATTAGGCCCCCAAATATCAACATGTAAGAGTTCAAAAGGATGTAGGGTTACATTCTGACTCAATGGAAAAGGAAGTCTCCTTTGCTTTGCAAAGTGACAGACATCACAGGGCAAGCCCTTTTGAGTTTCAATAGAGCTACAAAATTGATTGAGATAAGGAATTTTAGAGTGAGACAGGTGTCCTAATCTAAAATGCCATAAATAAAAAATGTTTGATCTTGCAACAGAGATGATCTTAGGATGACTAGGGGCTTCTAGGTAGTAAAGGCCATTGGTCAATCTATCAGAACCAGTCACTCTCTTCTGCTCCAGGTCCTGTATGACACAAAGGTTGGAGTGAAATGTTAAACTGAGTGAATTTTGAGTAGTGAGTTTGCTGACTGAGACTAAATTGAAACTGAAACCAGGAACAAAGAGAGCATCCTGAAGAGTTAACTCAGGAGTGCAATGAATTGTTCCTTTGTAAGTGGCAGGGATTTGTTGTCCAGTAGGCAAAGTTATGAACACACCAGATATAGGGATAGGATGGATAAGGTAATCAAGGCAAGAAACAATATGATCAGAGGCACCAGTGTCTAAGATCCATGTGAAACTGTGATTTGGATTAATGTGGTTTGGTGCTGATAAGAAACATGTACCTGATGGGGTGGTAGTAGTTGTGAATGCAGCAGCTGTGTGAGGAGAGTGCTGCTTAGAGTTCCCAACTAGAGTCATTAGCTTGTCATAATCAGCCTTTGAAAGCTTAACAGAATCATCAGGAGATGTTATTGCAGAATGAGCATATCCTCTGCCTCGTCCATATGAAGAGGTGGTAGTCCTGGGGACATAGTTAGCTGGAAAACCATGTTTCTTAAAACATTTGTCCTCAGGGTGGCCATGTTTACCACAGAAAGTGCATTCAATCACATTGGATGATGTAGACATAGGAGGGGATCGAGTAGACATTCCTGGTGGAAAACCATGTTTGATAAAACAAACTTCCTCTGTGTGCCCCTCTCTTTTGCAGTAAACACAATAAGGCCGTTTGGGAGCAGAATTAGGTCTTCTGTTGACACCTTGAATGGCTAGAGCAGAGGTATCAGCAGTTACAGAAGCAATGAGTTTGCCTCGTTGAGTACCATATAGCTGCCTCTCATGCTGTAACATACGTTGGAAAACCTTGTTGATGTTTGGTAACTCATCCCCAAACAGAACTTGGGAGCGAACAGCAGAAATATTGTCATTCAAACCTCGTAAGAACTTAATAACATAGCTTGTTTCCTGATATTCATGAACCAGCTTCATAGCTTGACATGTGTTGTGACTTGTGGTGGTACAAGCACGAGGAATTAGAGGCTGATAATTGTCCAGTTCATCACGAAGAGTAATAACCTTGCCATAGTATTCAGTAATATTTTGTGTACCCTGTTTTAAACTACAGAGTTCTTCTTCTATTTCAGCAACTCGAACAATGTCACCAGATCCATACCTTGTTTGTAAACTCTTCCATGCCTCAGCTGCAGATTTGCTCGAAAGGATGGTCTTGCGTATCTCAGATTCAACAGCTTGTTGTATCCAGCTTAAGATCATGATGTTGTTTCTGACCCAGGCATTTCTCTTCGGATCTGTTTCGGCAGGTTCAGGAATGGCGCCATTGAGGAAACCCAGCTTGTTATTGGCAGCAAGGGCGTTGAACATGGCGCGGCTCCAGTCATTGTAGTTTGTTGGGGTGAGCTTCTCACTGACCAAGAGGGAACCAGGTTGCTCGGAACCATGAAGGAAGTATGGATCTTCCATTGGGTAAGGAGTGTTTAAGGTTTCACCAGATGCAGAAGCATCTTGATGGGTTTCGTTTGTGGCCATGGCGGCGCCCTAGGGCTCTGATACCAAGAAAACAATTGAGAGAAGTGGGTAAAACCCTAATGCTTAATCTTTCTCATTGATTTGTTCAGCCACTTTATAGGCAGTCGGATTACAGAAAAAGACAGCCAAGCTAGTACACTTTGTCCATTAGCTTGGAGAGGAAACAATAACAAGCTTGAAACAAAAGAAACAGAGGGGAAGAAGTAAAGTAAAACGACACAGCTTTGGTGATGTTTGCTAGCCACCTAAAACGCAGCCGGATTGAAGAGTGTCTTCAACCTTAAAAATCTTTTGACCGTTGCCATTGATTTTTAGGGATTCATTTCCTGTTAACCACGGTTTCTTCTCTCCAGTTCCAAGTCGGCGGCAACAGAGGCTGGGCCCCACCGCCGCCCGGCGACAACAGCAGCAGCAGCCCCACCGGGTCCAACTCCTACTACAATCAATGGGCTACACACAACAGGTTCCACGTCGGCGACTCACTCAGTAAGTCACGCCACTAATCTACTTACTTCCTCATTTGATTTCCCCCAATTCTCAAAACATCTCTTAATCATCCATCATCAACGTTAATCCCAGCATTAATCCTATTCCTCCAGATTTCGTTTACCGAAGCAATGAATCCGACTCGGTGCTGCTAGTCAACTCCACCGCGTATTCCAACTGCACTGTTTCCGACCCAATTCTCCGATTGAACGACGGCGGCGGCAGAGGAAACGCCACATTCCAGTTTGATCGCCCGGGGATGTTCTACTTCATCAGCGGCCAGGCCGAGAGCTGCATTGCCGGCCAGAAGCTAGTGGTTCGGGTCATGACAGACAAAGACAAGGACGAAGAAGGACAGCATGATTATGGGCCGAGCCAGGCGCCAGGTGGGAACAACGGCGATCTGGTCTGGGACTGGCCGCCGGCGGTGAATTCAACCGTCAAGATGACCATCGCCTCTTACTTCATCACTGCTCTCGCTGGCGTCCTAGTTATCCTCTACTTGCTGATGTAGTAGTAGTTACTAGTTACCTTACCACTAGTAGTTTAATAGCATCAAGATCCAAACTTGAACCATCTCGATTCATTCATATGCTTATGTCATTATCATCAAACACCTAAGGAACCGCAACTTTCAAACTTGCTTCTGTGCACTACATACATGTGCATCATAACTGCACAACTCTGGTTTCAACTGGGAGTTGCATTTGGATTGAAACTTCGACACAAAAATGCATAAAGATTGAAACTTTGACAGTGGATTGAGGAGTATCATTATCAGGAACCATCTGAAATCTTCGAATCAGGTTCTGGGTAGAGGCCAGATTTACACTTTCAGTTCAACACAAACACAAACACTATGTTTGAACTCTCAGTATCTACAGGCTACCTTTCTTCCTCCAAAGCTATGATCACACCACTAATCAGCAAGTAACTCACTCAACACAATTTACACAAACAACACTACTGAACTAAAGAACCAACAAGCGATTGAAAGAATCAAACAATCAAGTATAGTACAAGTCATAACTAGCAGCAGCAGTAGTAGTGTACAGAACCTCCCATCTCTATTCACAATCAGAGGTAATATCCTCAAGAGAAAGGCTCAACCCACAAGAGAAAGTGAGAGTAGGCTTACTCTTAGCCAGAACCTTCACTTCAACTTCACCATTCAACATCTGAAGCACCCTCCTCATCGTCGGCCTCTCGCCGCCATCCGGATTGGCACAGCTCAACCCAACCATCAGCATCTTCTTCATCTCTTCAGTCTCAAACTGCCCCTTCAGTCGATCATCAGCAGCTTCCACCACTCTCCCTTCTCCATACAATCCCCAAACCCAATCCACCAAATTCACCATCCCCTGGCTCTCGGGCTCCCTTTCAATCGGCCTCCTCCCGCAAGCCACTTCCAGCAGCACCACCCCGTAGCTGAACACATCGGTCTTCTCCGTCGCCTTGCCGTAGTGGAGGTACTCCGGCGCCAGATACCCCATCGTCCCCGCCGTCAGCGTCGAAACAGGGCTCTTGTCGTGGTCCATCAGCCTCGCCAATCCGAAATCGCCCAATCGGGCGTTGAAATTGGCGTCCAGCATCACGTTGCTCGATTTGATGTCCCTGTGAATCACCTGCTGCTCGCACTCCTGGTGTAGATACGTCAGGGCGGAGGCTAGCCCGACGGCGACGTTTCGCCGCTGCGTCCACGAGAGCACTCCGCCGTCGTGGGGGTGGTGGAGGGCCTTGTCGAGGCTGCCGTGTGGCATGAGCTCGTAGACTAATAAGAGCTCGCCCTTTTCCACGCACCATCCGAGGAGCTGGACGAGGTTCTTGTGGCGGAGGCCGGCGATGATGGTGAGCTCGGCGAGGAACTCTTCTTTCCCTTCTTCGTGGGAGTGTCTGGACCTCTTGACGGCGGCGATTGTCCCCGTGGAGACGAAGAAGGCCTTGTAGACGTTTCCGAAAGCGCCCTTCCCGATGATTCTGCTGGAATGGAACCCTCTCGTCGCCGATTTCACCTCCCTGTAATTGAATTCCTTCGGCCGCCCGGAAGCCACCACCAGCTCTGTTTTCCCCGTAGTGGTACTACTTCCTCTCGTCCTCTGCCATTTCTTGACGGATATGTACCCGAAAATCACGAGGCACGCGCAGAAGAAGGAAGGGCCGGCGATTCCCAGCCCCAATCCGAGCTTCTTGTGGTTCTTGCTGCCGGAATCGGAAGACGGAATCTCCGGCGAGGGGATGACGATCGAATTGTCGGAGACGTTGTGGGGAGGATTCGTCGATCTGGGTCTGAGCAGGGATCCTTCTCCGGTCATGTTGAAGCTCCAGCTGTGAACCGAGTGGAGCTCCGTGGATCCTTCCGTCGACCCGGAGAAGCCAACATAAACGTTCCCTTTCAGGTTGTCGGAGAGGTCGACGTCGACGGAGAGGAGAGGGATTTCCGGCTTGGAAATCGAGAAGCTCAAGAAGACATCCAAGACTTTTGCAACGTGGTCGTATTCGACCCACGCCGTGATTTGCTCGCCGCTCTTCAAATCGATCCCCTGTAAAAGGGGATCCGCCGTCTTGATCGAAATCAGGCTGTCGATGTCGAACCCGACGTGGTTCTCGCTCGGGTCGCCGAAGTGGGAATCGACCCGGGTGTCGAACTCGACGGCGACGAACTTGTTCTTGGTCAACCGGGAGGCATTGACCAGGCCGAGGTAGCCGCCGGGGCTGCCGAGGGTCTCGTTGTCGCGGGACAGGAAGAAGGCGAGGCCGTCGCCGAAGGAGCTCGGGTTGACGTTCCCGATGGAGAAGGTGAATCTCGTGGAGAATGAAGCGGCGGACGGCGGAGCGGATTCCGGGTCGGAGAAGGGAATCGGGTCGTTGTAGATGACGGTGCCGGCGCTCGAGGTCGGGACGGTGACGTCGCGGGTGAGGCCGACGACTCCGTTGCGGAGGTAGGAGTCTCCGAGGAGGGTGAAATTTCGGATGGCGAAGGCAAGGAAGTCGAATTCGAAGCTGTGGTTGCCTACTGCGCCTCCGGCGGTGGCGGAAGTGAGGAGGAGGAGGAAGAAGAGGACGGAGGTGGAGGAGGAGGAAGGAATCATCGAGTTGAGAATCTTGATCGGAGATTGAATTGGGGTTTGCTTTCTTTCTTCTGGGTAGTTGGGGATTCAAGACTGTAAAGAGAACAGTTCTTGGAAGAGGGAATCAATGGAGGAAAACAGAGCGAGTAAAGGAAAGAGAGGAGTAGTACTAGTGGTGGTGGGAAAATGGGGTTTAAACGGAAAGAGAAAGATGGGCGCGTCGGTGATTGAAACATATAAAAGGGGAAAAGCAACAAACAAAGTAGCTTTGTGTAGCAAGAAACGACGCCGTTGCCTTTGAGACGGCTGGTGTTTGGATAATTGACTGGGTCTGGATATCTATTAAGTGGGCCTGATGTTTGGATCCAGTTCGGAGCTTGGACTTTACTGGGCTGCATCCCATGTCCCTGCACGAAGAAGAAAAATTCAAAAGAGACCGTTATTTAAGCTTTGGTGGTGTCCTCGTCATCTTTTTGTTTGCATTAGGCACGACAACAATAAACGGCCTCTAGGCGCTGAATTCCATAACGAACGAGGACGGCGAATTTTGGATCAGAAAGAGACGTCCTGATTGGCACAAAGCTAAAAAAGCTTTCAAGTTTCAAGGCCTCGTACGTAGGAAATGAAAGCATCTCGCAGGACCTGAAAGAGGCAAATATACAAATGGTTTGCAGCAGTCCAAGAACATGTGAGGAATTCAATAATAAAACGTAGTAGAGCTTGGAATGAGAAAGGGAGAGGCCATGTCCCATATCCAGTCCAAATCCCTTTTATCTAATGCTATCTACATATAGCCGTTACAGTGGCAGACAAATATAAAAACAAGCAACACACCTTTGCCTTTGACTAGGAAAGGAAGTGGGAGCTTTTCTGAGCTGGAAACTGGTCTTGCCTCCTTAAAGATAATCTACATAAACTTCATGCTGCTAAGGCACTAACAAGGCCTGCTTAGTCACTAAGCAAACTAGCGAACCTTGGTCGACCAGACACGACTGGTTCTTTCACTGCCTTAACCAGGCCTTCTGCCTTCAGGTCAAAAATGACATACATCATAGACATAACCTTTGCAGACATAAACACCAGAATCTCCAAAGACAATGAGAGTTTCATGCTGCAGCAGCAAATTGTTCTGAAGATGAAGTATTATTCACCACAAGTGGAGAAAGAAAACAGGAGAAGATAATGCTAAGAAAAGTTACCTGTAATAGCAGCAACCACTTGCTTTTGTTGCACTAGAGGAACAAAGGAAGTAAACATTAGACGCAATATTACTGTTATATTAGGATCCTTCTCCAGTAAGCCAGAGCTAGCATTTCTGGACTCGTTTCTCGTCTTACTGTAATGAATCATCACTTCTTTGAACTCCATTTATTCCAGTAGGGACCATCACGCTCAACTTTCCCATACTAGCACGTCCCACATCTACTTCTGCCACTCATCTGATTACCAGGTCAATATTGCAAGTGCTAGTGAAAACTGAGCTTGAGGAATCTGTAAGCAGTATGGATGGGAAGTTTCATGAGATGTACAGCTGACTTCTTCATTCAAACAATGGGAACAGGCTTCAAAGTGCTTATTGGTGTCGCCACTCTCAACAGCATTTCCGTATCCAACATCTGGTAAGTCGAGATGGCCTAGTCAAGATCCCCCAGTGTTACGCAATTGACATGTAGCTCAAACATTGGAGAGTGGAGTATGCGGACAAGCAGATTTGAAAACTTACTCCAAACATTAGCATGACTGCATGAGTAAGGATAGTGTTGAAGCTTGGTCCAATTTCCAGGAGCAGAAGGTTATTTCGTTATCTGTTTCCACAACAAATTTCTCCATCTCTGGTACATTTTGATTAGTGGCAATCAATCCACAGAAAATCGATAAATGACTGGATATTCTGATAGACAGCAATTCCATCCCAAAACTAGAGTTTTTCATCTGCATATTGTTTTCACATTCCAGTATAAGTGAGTACGCCTGTGCTTCCGGAATATATTATGTGAGAAACCTTAGATGAAACTTGGAACTCCTCAGATAGTGATATTTGACAGCTTAACTACAGTTCTACACTTGGATTTATTTCGTACCCGAAAAAGGATGAAATGGCATGCATGTAAAGCTTGAAGGAGTAGAGCAGGGATAACTTGGTCTATCACCAATATTAATGCATCTGTGTTGAGGTGATGAAACCATGAAGATATACCTACATTTGGATTCTGAGAAACGACAATATTAGCTGATCTGTACAGCGTCGATGTAACTCACATCAACAGAGACAATCAGACAAATAGCCCTTCCCAAGATCTTGCACTGAGCCATTACTAGGCTTGTCCTGTTATCAGACCCCTTAAGGGATGACATATTCGCAGTAAGCTGTGCTGTTGTCATTATTCTGCGCCTGCTCACCATGAAGTAACTCAATGCTATGGGCAACTAAATTAGACATAGAAGTCAAAGAATCAGCCACAACTAAACTAGGAGATTCTGCCTGTTTCAGCTGGAACTGCTCCATATTTTTCTGAGCAGACAATAGTGGTGCTTTCAGACAAGGCTAGCCATTAGAATGAGTATCCAATGATTCCAGAAACTAACTCCTCGTCCAATCAAACTTGACAGTTGAAGTAGTCGTGATAAGCTCTTGGGCTCTGCAACTGCAATATCTGTTTTTGGTCATGCTGTAAGACTCATCCATTTTCGAAGACCCCAAAATTATCATTTGATGATTGGGACTAATGGAACCCTGATGGTTTAAGTATTCTCAAGGCATCATCTCCCATTTTCTTGCTTTGTAAGTAGATGCCTCTAATATAGGTTTCTTTGAGTCCCTCAAAAATATTGGCATGGTTGGTTTCCATTTTCCAGTTTGGCCCATCACCCTCTTTCACATGAGTCCAAGGATAATCTAGATTTACACCTTTGTCACCCTGCTGACATAAATTAGAACTCGTAGATCTTGTTCTCTCACCAAGGCACCATTACCAACCACTTCTGTATTCCCGTTATCGGTTGAAAATTCAAACATTCATTTACCAATTCTTGTAACCTGTTGCCATTGTTAGTCTTTTCTGGGGATCTGTCAGTGGGCTGCCAGTGTCGACCAGCTTCAGCACCACTATGAATGGACTAGACACCTCCGGTATTCCTTTACAACACCAGTCTGAATAGCTCCACCCAAATGAATGATGCTACCAGCTTCTGTTGCACAAATTGTACCAGAAGCCATGGCAGGACTGGCTGATTAGACTGCTGCACTGAATAGCTAGTAGAATTTCAAGAACCTCATAGATAGGACTGGTTAGTTCCCATTTCTTCCCTCGGTCACCTCCAGTTCTCTCTTTGTAGAGTTTATGTTACATGGAACTAGCAGAGACACTAGGATCAAGCATTCAAGCTCATCATTTGCATGCAGTTTTAGCAGAAATCATGTCATAAGAACCTCTCTTTTCAAGCAGTTTCGAAGAACCTCGCGCACAACATGGGGAAAAGACTTTTCATGAAGGGAATCCCTACTAACAGGGCAAAGGCTTGCTAGTAAGCTCTTCCTTCTTTAAGCCTGCCAGAAAATGAAGCAGTTTGCTCAAGATCCAGGGGCAATCAAAGAGAGAAGATATCCAAATCACTACTCTGTTGACAAAGAACTATGAAATATAGAAAATACGATGCTGATAAGCCATAGCTGCTCCTTTTGAACTAGTGAATAGTGATTGGACATTGAATACTTAGTGAAACAACTGGCTTCAATCTATACCTAGAAATCAGGTGCATAACAAGGAAATTCGCACTCAGAACAGTCATAGAATTTATACTTCTAAAATCTAAAACGCTCCATTTTCAGGTTTGAATAGCCACAGAAACTCGACATGCCAAAGAAAAGAATAGTTCCCACTTGAATCTATTCTACGCCCTAGCGTTTCTAAGCTATTGATACCGAGAGCTCGAAATGGAGTCCGTAATTTCTACAAGGTCGACAAAGCTGTAACTGATCACGATCTAGTAACTTGCACGGAAAAAATCCAACACAAGAACAGCCGCAGCGGCAAGAACTCACCATTTGTATGAAATTAAAGGGAGGAGGAAAAGAACAATGGAGGAGGGGAGATTCCACCAAAGGAGGCATTCGGAAGCTAGATGATGAATTGCTGATCGGAGAGTTCGATCTGCTACAGTCGGCACCTTCCCAAACCTTCATCAGTTTTATACCATCTCCGCCATTTGACAGCTTAGAGCATAACCGTGTGATGCGGGCGGCTGAGTAAGGTGGCCGGAGAATTCGAGATGTTTGCGACGGAAGGAAGGGGACGGGGAGGGATGCAATTCCGATGTGTTACTGTTACAAACTTACAGTGGTGTGAAGTTATTTCAAACTTTTGGGTGCAGGTGGTAATGTCCTGATCTGCAAGATAATGTAAAGTAGAAGGACCAAAAGGAAAGACGTACCCAGCGATGGGATCCGAATGAAATATTAGCTTGCCCACCAGGTAACAATGTAATTGAAATGAAATAGCCTGTCCTGATCTCCGATTTTCTCCTCTTCCCCCTAGCGGCGGAAGCAACCGCCGGCTTTTCCGTAGAATAAACAGAACGGAGAATCTATTCTCGCTTCTTTGAAAGGGAAACTTCACATTTTCGGCAGTGATCTCTGATTTCACCTTACCCTTCAATCAACAGCAATGGAGTTTCCGCTGCCGATGGACAAAGTCTCTGTTCCCACCGAGTATTCTTCAAATTTCTTCTCCCTTACTTTTTTCTCTTCAATCCGATTGCTTGGTCTGGTGATACAACTTATCTGTTCTGTTGGGGGAAAACTAAAACAGGGACGACGGCAAGGTATCTGTAGTTCTGGTTGCCACCGGAAGCTTCAATCCTCCTACTTTCATGCACTTGCGGATGTTTGGTAAGTTTTCAATGCCTTCTTTTCTCTTCTTTTGTTGTTACCCGCGTCACAATTCGACTTCGCAAAACCTTAAAAACATGATCTTGTACTGGATTTTGGGTTAAATTGTATGATCTAGAGCTGGCAAGAGATGCATTGCAAATGGGAGGCTACCGTGTGATTGCTGGGTATATGTCGCCCGTTACCGATGCCTACAGCAAACCGGTTCGATTTATAGCCGCTAGGCTCGCTTCTGTTACCTTCTATGGACGTCAATGCAGCAGCTGATTTCCCATAGCTTGGTTATCCAGGGTCTTGCCCGCGCTGAGCATCGTTTGCGCATGTGTAATTTAGCCTGTGAGAGCTCCGATTTTATTATGGTTGATCAATGGGAGGTAATCTATTCAGCTCTACTGTGCAAATATGTGAGCTGATTCTCGACAACACGCCTTGTTTTCTCGTTTCATTGAATAACCCTTATTTTTACAGGCAAATCAAAGTACCTACCAGCGATCTTTGACTGTGTTGAGAAGAATTGAAAGTGTCTTCATCGATCAAGTCCCGATATCCAGGGGTGAAGCTTCTCTTCGTCACTAACTAATTTTAAGTTCCTACGTTTTGGTTGATGTGTGAGACAACAATGCTAATGTGTTTTGTAAATTGTAACCCACTATTGCGATTTGGAAGAATCCCTCAAGGTGATGCTGGTTTGCGGTGCTGATCTGCTGCAGTCGTTTAGCATTCCTGGGGTTTGGATTCCCGATCAGGTACTGTTTCCCGAGAACCATGTTGCATTAATTTGCATTTAGAATGTTTATTTTCGTTGTAATCATTCGGCTCTTACAAAAGTTTGTAGTTCATGCACGGTGAGGTAGTTTTGCTGTTTGTTTGAAGCAAAGCTATTAATTTATTGCTCTTAGCTTTTTCCTCTTTAGTAAAAGTGTAAATCAATGAACAATTTCCTGTTGCTTATATAGGTAAGGAGCATATGCAGAGACTATGGCATAGCTTGCATTCATAGGGAAGAGCTTGACATCGACCGAATCATAGCTGCTAATGAAATCTTGAATCAGAATAAGGTAGTTGATATCAAGGTTTGATTTGGAATGACACCTTCCTTTCTTTCTGTTGTTGATTGTTTGATTTCATGAAACCTGAAGGCAGTTTTTCTGTTTAACATTAGCTCTCAGTTTAATCCTTCCCTCGTGTGTTTATTTATAATTTGCCTCACATGAATTCATGTTGCAGGATAGCATCAAGCCTGTTACTGAACCTGTACCAAACATGATAAGTTCCACCAGAATGAGGTAAATTGAACAGCATAAATTTCCTTCGTTGAACTTGAATAAAGTTACTCTGACATTTTTGGACTCAAGACTGCGGTTATTTCTCCTATATAAATTCTAGGGACTGCATATCAAGAGGATTGTCAATCAAGTACTTGACAGCGGATTCAGTTATCAGTTACATCAGAGAACATAATTTGTATTTGGGAAACAGATTAAGATCATCTCCTGCAGCATTATATCCGATGAACTTCAAACCCTCAACTCATATTTGAGAGTACTTTGTAAAATTGCTCAGTTCGGTTTCAAAGAGGTGCATAAAAGTCTCTGTAGTATTGTTTCCCTTTCTTCACATTTCAATCAAAATTTCTCCTGATCAACTCTTATCAATGATGCCTTTTTTCTTGCTTTCGTTAACCCCCCTTTCGCCATTATTTGTACTGCGCATATAGATCAAAGCCAGACATGCCATTCTGAGAAGTTCCTACTTCCTACACCATCTTCTCCGCTTCCGCTCCCAATGCAGGAGCCCGACCCGAACGGATCCCTGTAGTACCCATTCAGCATGCCGCTATCATACATCCCCTGCTGCTGTTGCTGCTGATGATTGCCCTGCATCGCGAAAGGCGCCTGCATATAAGAAACCATCTACTGCTGCGGTGGCAGCAGCGGAGGCGGCATAACTATAGCCCCGAAACCCGCGGAGCTCCGCTTGAGCATGATGGGATCGCAGTAAGATGCGCGATCACCACCCTCCGTCTCTCAGTATCTGGCGAGGAAGAGGGAAAGCGGCTCGACATAGCTGTCGAATCCGTCTTCCCCATGGCCCAGATCACATCGGCATCGGTGACTGCCTTGGGCTGGCAGTGCTCGTTGGCCTTCCCCGTGACGAAGCTGATGTACTTTGGTCAAACCCTTAGTTGGAAAACGACACTAATATGGCTGACTTTGCCACCAGGGAGCTGCTGAATGAAGCAATCGACTCTATCGTGGCATATTGGGTGAGTGATAGTGGTGAGTGGGACTCTGTGAAACTCAAAGATTAAGCTAATGATGTTTTGTGTCACATTGCAGGTATTGATGCACCTAGAACAGAGTTAGGAGAGGACAAACCCACATGGGGCATTGTGAAAGATGGCAGATTCAGTTTTTGCTCTGCTTACAACCTTGTAGAGGAGGCAGAGCCGATCGAGATATGGAATGATCAAATAGAGTGAAATTCTCCTCTGGTTGGTTTCACATAACTGGCTGCTCACTAACGCAAAAAGAAAATAAAGGCAGCTAACCAACAATGGGAGTTGCAAGCATTGTACTGATGAAGAAGAAACCGTGGAAACATATCGTGCGAATGTGCAGGAGGATCAGAGGAGTCTGGAATCATTACAGTGACAAAATCACGACAAATGCTGCAGACAAGGACTTTGCACAATGGCTTAATGAGAATATCAAAGCAGAAAGAAGTAGTTTTTCGCGGCTTGGTATACTGAATCTCTGCTCACGAGCTTGCGGGAGGGTATCAGGAATAAAAACCAGTAGTTCTTCGCGGCTTCCACAATTCGAACCCAGCCCGGCAGAGGAAGTTACCGCTGCGCCTACACCGACAAGTCGTCAAAGCTGCAGTGACGTCATTTCTGAAAAACTACCATAGGCCATAGCACACCTACAATTATTGACTTGCTCCTTTTTCTATTTTAGGGTTGTACTTTCTTCTTGTCCAAGTCTCTCTTTTTTCCTTGCACGGTAAGGTTCTGTTCATGCTTTGTAAATTGTAACCACACAACAGCAACGAAATAAGCTGTCTTGATGCAATGAGAATAAGCTAAAACTTCTAGAGTTCTCACAATCTGCTCCTTTGACAGGGAAGTTATACCTTCTCGGCAGTGATCTCGATTTCACCTCCCCCTTCAATCAACCGCAATGGAGTTTCCGCTACCGATGGACAAAGTCTCTATTTCCACCGAGTATTCTTCAAATTTCATGCTCCCCTTACTTTCTTCTCGTCAATCCGATTGCTTGTCTGGTGATTAACTTGTCTGTTCTGTTGGAGCAAAAACTAAAGCAGGGACGACGGCAAGGTATCTGTAGTTCTGGTTGCCACTGGATGCTTCAACCCTCCTACTCTCATGCACTTGCGGATGTTTGGTAAGTTTTCAATGCCTTCTTTTCTCTTCTTTTATTGTTACCCGCATCAACATTCGACTTGGCAAACCTTAAAAACATGATCCTGGACTGTATTTTGTGTTCAATTGTATGGACCAGAGTTGGCTAGGGACGCATTGCAATCGGAAGGCTACCGTGTGATTGCTGGGTATATGTCGCCCGTTACCGATGTCTACAAAAAACCGGTTTGATTTACAGCGCTACGTTTGGTTCTGTTACCTTTTATCTTTCCCACCTATATGCGGACGTCAATGCAGCAGCTGCTTTCCGATTGCTTGGTTGTGCAGGGTCTTATACCTGCTGAGCATCGTTTGCGCATGTGTAATTTAGCCTGTGAGAGCTCTGATTTTATTATGGTTGATCCATGGGAGGTGATATATTCAGCTCTGCTCTGTCTCTGTGCATATTTGTGAAGAATTGAATAAACCTTATACCAGCCTTGTCTTCTTTTTTTGTTTTCGTTTCATTTAACAAACCTTATTTTACAGGCAAATCAAAGTACCTACCAGTCATCTTTGACTGTGTTGAGAAGAATTGAGAGTGTCTTCATCGAAGAAGTCCCGATATCCAGGGGTAAAAGCTTGTCCTTGTAACTAACTGACTTTTTAAGTTTCTTCGGTTTGGTTGATCAACAATGCTAATGTGTTTTTTTTTAACCCCCACCCTATTGCGATTTCGAAGAATCACTCAAGGTGATGTTTGTTTGTGGTGCTGATCTGCTGCAGACGTTTAAGATTCCTGGGTTTTGGATTCCCGATCAGGTAGTTTTGTGGTTTGATTGAAGCAGAGCTATTAATTTTCTGCACTTTGCTTTCTCCTCATTAGGAAAAGTGTCAAACATTGAACAGTACTCCCCTGTTGCTTATATAGGTAAGGACCATATGCAGAGACCATGGTATAGCTTGCATTCGTAGGGAAGAGCTCGACGTCGATCGAATCATAGCTGCTGATGAAATCTTGAATCAGAATAAGGTATTTGATATCAAGGTTTGATCTGGAATGACACCTTCCATTCCTTCTGTTGTTGAATGTTTGATTTCATGAAACCTGAAGGCAGTTTTGCAGTTTACCAGTAGCCTCACATGAATTGGTGTTGCAGGATAACATCAAGCCTGTTACTGAACCTGTACCAAACATGATCAGTTCCACCAGGTTGAGGTAAATTGAACAGCATAAATTTCCTCCCTTGAACTTGAACAAAGTTACTCTTTGACATTTTTGGACTTAAGACCGCGTCCTTATTTTGCTCCTATATAAATTCCAGAGACTGCATATCGAGAGGATTGTCAATCAAGTACTTGACGGCGGATTCAGTTATCAGCTACATCAGAGAACATCAATTGTATTTGGGAAACAGATAAAGATGTCCTGCAGCATATATCTGAGGAGCTTCAAAACCTCCACACTCATATTTAAGAGTACCATGTAAAATCGCTCAGTTCGGTTTCAAAGAAGAGCATAAATAAATGTATCATCACCTTAACTAGCCTAAAAGCTTCAGCTTTTCAACTAAGATCTTGAATAAAGCTAAAAATCTCTGGAGGGTTGTTTCCCTTTCTTCACATTCCAATCAAAATTTCCCCTGATCAACGATGTCTTTTTCTTGTCTCTCTTTAACCTCCCTCCCTCCATTATTTGTACTGCGCATATAGATCAAAGCCAGACATTCCATTCTGAGAAGTTCCCCCACCGTCTTCTCCGCTTCCACTGCCGGAGCCCGACCCGAACGGATCCCTGTAGTACCCATTCAGCATGCCGCCATCATACATCCCTTGCTGCTGCTGCTGATGATGATCGCCCTGCATCGCGAAAGGTGCCTGCATGTAAGAAACCATCTGCTGCTGCTGCTGCTGCGGCAGCGGAGGCGGCGGCAACATCATATTCCCAAAATCCGGGGACCTTCGCTTGAGCATGATCGGATCGCGGTAAGATGCCCGATCGCCCTCTGCCTCGCGGTACCTGGCGAGGAAGAGCGAAAGGGGATCGACGTAGCTGTCGAATCCGAGCTTCCCCATGGCCCAGATGACGTCGTCGGCGGTGACAGTCTTGCGCTGCTCCCGCTGGCAGCGCTCGTTGGCCTCGCCGGTGACGAAGCTGATGTACTCGGAGACGCACTCCTGGATCGTCTCCTTGGCATCGTCGGAGATTTTGGCGTGGGCGGGGAGGATGCGCCGCATTATGCGGATGACATTGGCTATGGGCATGTACTGGTCTTGTTCTCGGAGTAAAGGAAGAGATCGGCGCGGCGCCGGCGCCGGTTCCTGGCCGGCGGGCGTTGGGTTCTCCCCTGACCTGATGTTGGCGGGAAGGCGGATTTTGGCGGTTCCGCTGACGTTTGGAGCGGAATCAACTGGAAAAGAAATGGTTGGTGATTATTAGTTGGGCCTTGGGCTTCGCTCAAGGTGAAATGGGACACTCTGAGGCGGAGCCCAGCTCTGGGAGAGGCTCACTTGCAATAATCAAAAGCCCATCACATTTTGGTGAGGAATATTTGAGAATGTCGAAGTTCTAACCCAAAAATAAAGAGATAAACAACCAATAAGTAATCGTTTGTAAATAGATCGTTTGAATTATGAAGAAAAAACATAGCTCTAGAATAATTATAGATTTTTTAATCAATAAGGTGTACACATATTTTCTAATTAAGATTTGCAAACTAGCTTGTATTGTCAACTCGAACTTTGCATACGATAAATTCGTATGGCGAAACCTTCATGCCTTCATCTGAGAAATCATTTTTTTTTATTTTTTTTCCTATTTTTCTGCTCTAAAGATGAAGAGAAGAAGACAAGTGAAAAGAATTTAAAACTAATAAACCTTAATTAATTATTAAAAACTAAGCCTATATATCGCGCACAGAAAAAGCAGAGGTTTTGATTGGGCATGCAGGAGAAAAGAAGAGGTGAGTCAGTGGTTTACTACGTGCATGGCTTCCACGTCATCCAACACCAAACATTTTCTTTTATTTTAACGCACTCAAATATTAATTTACACCACAGAAATTCCAATATGCGTTCTAAATGTATTTATTAAGATTACCAAAAAAAAATGTATTTATTAAGCCACACACAATAAAAAGTATAATTAATTTATTAATTCACTAGTAAAATTTCTCATGCCGAAGACTGAAACTGTATCAATCAATTCATCCAACATGGCCATGCATACAAGATCTCCCGATGCATGATTATACGTTCTAATCTCCGTAGCTGATAATGATCTTTGTACGAAATACCAATCATCATAAGCTACAGCTCGAAATTAAAATTATTAATTGGTGTGAAAATTTGAAGACAGTACTCATATTCAAATCTTAAGGTCAACATTCAACAATCATTAAAAAAAATTAACATACAAGTCAGCAAAATGAAACTTGATTATGGAAGATCTGATATCTCTGATTTCGTTTTTAAGCTTCCGGTATTTTTATGTGTTTAGTGTTTGTGACACTGAGTTTTTGGGGTGATAATGGAGGAATAGCGTCGGTTATATATATATATATAAAATATGGCCAAGAAGGAGTGACTGAGGAGAGCAATCTTTACATACCGGAGACAGGTGGCCCACCAAAAATGGCGGCGGCGGCGGCGGCCTCTCGTTGCTTTGCATGTCGACGGTTGCGATTGAGCCCTCCATCACCGCCACCGCCAGCATCGCCGCCACGTTCCATCGCTCTGTTATCTGTTTGGCTCTCGCGCTCTGACTCTGTGGTTTGTTTGGCAATGGACACTTGACTTGAAGGGAGAGGAGACGATTGGCTGGCATTGGGAATCACTTCAATTTATAGCCCCCAACTACACACACACACAAAAAAAAAAAGCTTTTCAAATATATGGGAATAATATGATTGGGTGGTAAAGGTAAAAAATAAAGTCAAAGACCAAAGACCATGTTTGCCCAACCGGCGGTTACCTCGAGAGGGTTACCCTTATAATTACTATGCAGTTTACCCCAGGCAGTCGCTCCCATTGGATACCTGCCCTCCTCCTCTTCCTGCTTTTACCTTTTCACCCTTTACCAGGGTTATTTTTGGGGATTGAGAGGTTTTGAATTAGGGTGTTATTATGTTGTTGTGATATGTGTTTAATGACCCAACTAACACCAACCATGGAAAATTGGGATGTAATTACTCTATAACTGTCCTTACTTTTTTTTTCTTTTGAAAATTAAATTAACTTCTAAAATAATATTGAAGATATTCGAATATTCTCGAAGTCAATATGACTATGGGTCAATAACATTTTAATTTCTACCTCGAGCTAATTAAGGTAAATAATGGTTTCTCAGATATCGGGATTTAATGTCTTGACATGTTAAATTAAAAGTTTATATAGGAACAAATTATAGAATAGATAGTCATGTATAGTAAGTAATCACATAATTAGTTGATGTTTTATATGCTAGTGATGATTAGACATGATGTCAAATTATTCCACAATTTATTGTCAGAAATTCGTCATGAAAATAATGAGGAAAAATAAAACAATGATAAATCCTCTGTGTTTCTTATAGTTATGGAGATCGGCCTCGTTTTTTGTTTTTGCAGTATCTGTAGACACGATAGTTTCTGTAAAACCCTTACTATATATTACAAAACGAAACAGTAAAATACATCGAGTTTAAACATTCTCGGGCACGAGCTCTACATATATTTTTTTTTTCAAACTTCAAACCATAATTTACATTTTCATCAGAGTCAAAACAGAAAACCGGGGAAGTCCGATTTATTACAAAATTCACACAACATAAAACATTTAAGGAGTTCGGAGTCCTCCGCCCACCTCATGGCTTCCCTTCACGCTTGAGTCCCGATATCTACAGTACAGACCTTACTTCTGATCTTGACCTGAGGAAAAATGATGACGAAGGATGAGTTGTCGCTCAGTGAATAAATTCTAAGCTCTGATCGACCTCAATACAAAAACAGTATTGGCAGAAACACCCTAGCACATAACACGACTTAAATTGTTTTGTCACACTTTTCATTTTACTGAATCAATCAAGTTCCCATGCTCACATTCCACAGTCAAAACACATAAAACAGATGATAGATAGAGGCATTTTGCTTAAACAATTTCACTTTCAAACTTGCTAGATGATATACTCTTCGGGTAGTACAGTAGTGGAAGGCTGCAGGATAACCATGTACAACCATCAGATAACTGGAGTACCGCGGGACAAAACCTCATCCGGTACAAACAGGAGTGCACAAGGCACGAAACAGGAGTGCTCGCACTAACAGGAGTATCGCGGGGCACAACCCGGACCGATACAAAAACAGGAGTCGCCACGGGATTACCCCAGCCCGGCTAACTGAACAGAACAGGAGTACCGTGGGTCGTCACCCAATCGGCACGGTGCGGAGCACGAGCGCTCAAACAGGAGTATCTTGGGGTTTACCCACATCGATACAAACAGGACACACTACTGTACCGAGGTATCATAAAGCCTTTTTACTTATTCTTATGTATTCACCTCTTTTCATTAATAGTTCACTTAGACACTATAGGCTCAAAAGCATTCATAGTGCTTTTGCACCCTCAGTCACCACAGAATGGAATGTAAGTTGAGGAGCTGACTCCGAGTTATTCAAGCAAAACAGGATTAGTAAGCCTAATGGCTTACTCCAAATCTAAACAGACAAGATGGGTTCGCAAGTTCGAATACTTACTCAGAATCCACACAATAAATCAACAAAATGTCTTTCCATATCCCATTCACAATTCATGCATTTCCAACTTCATACCAAATGCAGATAATGAATAAACACAAATAAGCCATATCACATAGCCATATCGTTTCCCATAAATTCTCATATTATACTGGAGCCTCTTCATGACCCCGATATGTATACGGGCCGCTTCATGACCCGAATACTGTGATTATGTTGAAGTAGATCTAAGATTAGAATCTACTCACAGTTTTATCTTCACTCGGCTATGCCCTTGCCTTTGGGTGAGCCCCCGGCTTGCTCCTTACCTTTATATACAAATTTTCCAGGTTATTCAAGCACCAAGACATGTATACAATCATCATAATCATGGTTGTATTCATGCATGTCGATAAGACCACTAGGAAAGTCATACGATTGTACACTTTACCCTTCTTCATCATTTTGATCATTTCTCCCTTGATACTTAACCAAATCAGTTGATTCTTGTTGCTACTGAAACTAGATTCATAGTGCTACAACATATCCAAATTTCAGACCATTTGGATCAGCATTTTGATCCCAGCAATCAATTTAAATTGACGTTTCAAAACTGTCAGCTACTTTCTTCTCACTTCAATCCAACTCCCCTACTTCTAACAATTATTTCCGACCACTCCGAAATCAAAACTAAGTTCCGAACGGTCAACTCAAAGAACCTTATGTACATAACATTATACCAAATTTCTAGAACGATCCAACGACTATTTTGCGCAGGATCTTACCTCTAATTTACTGTCCTGCTACAGAAAAACAGTATCGCACCCCTTCTGTCCAGCGACTTTCCTCGATGATCCCAACGGTCAAATCGTAGACAAAGAAGTATAAAACACAACCTACAAATCTCAGGACGATCCAACGGCTTGATTGTCCGGAATAGTCCTTCTCACAGGCTGTCCTGCTGCTGGACGAAAATTGGCAGCACCCCCTTTGCTTCCTTCTTCTTCTTCTTCTTCCTCTCCTTGATACACTTTTCTTTCTAGCTTCCACTCTTTGCTCCTTGATACTCAAGAGGGGGGGTGTATGTAACACCTTAGGCAAATCCCACATCAACAAAGCACGGGAGAGATCCATAGTTCATAAGTAAGAGACCGAACTTAACTGACAAGACGCGTTTTGGGGTGTAATGGAGAAGTTCTTGTCAGAACTCCAAAGTTAAACGTGCTCAGTGCGGAGCACAACAAGGATGATGAGTGACCTTATAGGAAGTCACCCAGAATTGCACCCCAAGTCGAAAACCGTGCGGGTGTAGAGGCCCAAAGCGGACAGTATCTTGTCGGGAAAAGGTTCGGGATGTTACAAGTGGTATCAGAGCCTCTCCGCGTCCCTCTTGAACGATGGTGGGGCAAACCTCAACGAAGACGTTGAGTCCCAAGAGGGGGGGGGGGTGTAACACCTTAGGCAAATCCCACATCAACAAAGCACGGGAGAGATCCATGGTTCATAAGTAAGAGACCGAACTTAACTGACAAGACGCGTTTTGGGGTGTAATGGAGAAGTTCTTGTCAGAACTCCGAAGTTAAACGTGCTCAGTGCGGAGCACAACAAGGATGAGTGACCTTATGGGAAGTCACCCAGAATTGCACCCCAAGTCGAAAACCGTGCGGGTGTAGAGGCCTAAAGCGGACAGTATCTTGTCGGGAAAAGGTTCGGGATGTTACAGTTTCTATATTGGATTATTGTGTCTTATAATCATACAATTAGCGTGACCTCAATATGAAGAATCATGATCTCCTATTGCTAGCACGGTTGTGTTTTTGACAAAAAAAAAAAAGTTCATGTTATGTGCAAGATTGTCAAACCTTTATCTGGTCGCTGGTTTAATCGGCCGAACCGGAACCAAGCATCTAAACGGTTGGAATACACTCCGATTGAGAAAAAGTCAAAAGCGGGTTAAACAGGTTAAAACCGGGTGGCCTGACTAGTCACAATTGGGTTTGAAGACGTGGATATTGATATTATATATATTTACTTTTAATAAATAATTTGGTAATATATGAATGTAGATTGGTGATATTGTTTTAAAATATGTGAAATATATGCATAATTTATTTGATATTAAAGGTTTTCTGAAAATGATTTGGTAATATATGAATAGATGTTACGTTTGGTAGCTAGTACATATAAAATTATACAATGGTGGTATGAAAATGTACCATATGATGGTATACATAAATATAACATAGTGTAGAATGGTTGTATACATGATAGTAAAAATATATTAATAGCTATTTACCACCTCTAATCGCCATCTACCACCAGTTACCACCCTATACCAGGGTGGTATATATACTTGGTTCTAGAAAATTTTCACCCATAAATTTGTAGATCACAATAGCTAAATATAAACCCGTTTCATCTGTGCAAATTTTCCAAAATTCGAATTAAAAACGAATGTAATACAAAATGGTACCAATTGTACAAGTGTGGTAACGGATGATAACGAGTGATGCGGTACATTTTTTTATCAGAATACATTGAAAATTGATATTATTTTGTAGATATTAAAAAATTAGTAAATTCAATTTCCAACAAATAAGATACAAACCAATTAGAAAAAAAATAAAAAATAACAATCTAACCCTTAAATCTGCACCACTTAAAATTAAAGGAAAATCTGGTTCTACGTTAGCACTAAAGAAATTAGGGGTGGGCATTGGGTGGGTCGGGTGGATTTTGACCATAAAATTCACCCACCCGTGCTTACACGGATTGATAATTTTTAACCCACCACCCACCCATATTTAGTCTCGGGTTGGGTCGGGCGGATGGTGGATGATTTGGGTGGGTTTGTGGGTTCACCCACATCACAATGTATATAATATAAAGGAGTCAACTTGACATGATAATAGGCGAAGAAAGTTATCTGGGGAAACAAGAAGATGAAATAGCGCGAAAAATATCGAATTAGTTCTTAAAATGGATAGAAATTCTATTATGAAAGAGTTTTCTACAGTTTGAGATGATTATCAGGTGCAAGGAACTAAGAAAAATAATTCCACAAAGGAAAGAGCAGTGATCTAGGCACAAGAATTAGAGGAAAAAATACAGGGAAGAAGAGGGGATCGGTATTTGGAAGGTTGGCTTTGAGGTTCAAACTCTAGAAGCAGTCCTAGTTTATGTCTAACGTCTCCACTCTCCCCTCTGTAGCGCCAACGACTTTGATCTTTTTGTTGTTGGGTTGAGCGGGTCACCCGCGCACCCACCCACAACCCACCCACCACCCGGCGGATGGCTCCCAGCGCAACCCGTCACCCACCCATAAACCCACCCACTTAACGAAATTCGGGTCAAATGCGGGTGGGTCGGCCCAAACCCGCGGATGATCCGCCCGCATGCCCAGCCCTAAAAGAAATAATAATTTTGATTACAGTCCCTATTTTCAAACATCGTTTCCCTCGTTTAGTTTTCCGAACAACGTACCATCACACTTCCGCAAACGCAGAAGAGGGAGCCCAGCCCGCATATACATGATACATCAATGAAAAAAAAAACAAATTAAACCAACCAGCTGCTAGCAGCCGGCAGGCCAACGGAATAAAATTATTAATTAATCTGCTCAACAGATTACTACTCCAATAATGCAAATAGGGGAACCATATTTTACACATGCGCGCCGATACTTGAATTGAGCGCGACCCATACCAAACCCAGCCCATTTGTCCGACTCGACTCCGGCCGGCTGGCCGGGTCTCCAATTTACACTTTCCACCGGCCTCTATAAATACAACCAACCCACCATGACACACTCATCACTTCACACAATCTGTAACAAAGAAGGGAGAAGGGAAACATGGAGTCACCGTCGTTGACCAACATTTTGTGTGGTGGAGTTCTAGTAGTTTATATGCTGTCGTCGTCGACCTTTCTGAGCGGAGCGGCGGCGGCGAATGACGATGAGACGGCGGTGCCGGCGATGTTCGTGTTCGGCGACTCGCTGGTCGAGGTTGGGAACAATATCTATATACCGACTTCGACGAACAGAGCGAATTACCCTCACAATGGGATTGATTTCCCCAACCACGAAGCAACCGGGCGGTGGTGCAACGGCAAGAATTCGGCTGACTGGCTCGGTACGTATACAAATACTTACTCTTCTTGATTCCTCGTTGTTGGTTAATTGGAAGACTGACTATATATATATATATTTGTGGATCGAGCAGCTGAGAGATTCGGGGTGCCAAGTCCCCCGCCTTACCTGTCTCTGGATACCAAAACTGCGTCTTCTTACATGGCCGGCGCCAGCTTCGCTTCTGCTGGCTCCCTGCTCCTCAACAGTAGTTTGCAAAATCCGGTAAGCTACTATAAGTAACAAATATTATAAGGTTTGGGTTAGGGACTTAGAGGGTACAAATCTCAGGCCTGCGAAATCGTGGTTGTATCATCGTATATCATGACATGTGTGATACGATAATACAGGTCGTATCATCATGACCAGATTTTGTAGGTTGGGGTTTTGTACCCATCCGCTCCATTATTATAATTCATATCAACATTCAGTATCTCCAAATGCATTCTTATTTGTTCTAGATTTGAATTGAATTCAATTTAGGTCAATTCAATTGGGTCGTCGGTCCCAAACGGGTCTAGATGATCGTACAAATGAAAAGGCAATACCGACTACATCACTAAATTTCTTCAACATAATTCACATACCTAATGTTTGGTATTTCCACATTCCAGTTTATTTTTGAAAAAAATGTGAAATTCACATTAGAATCGGACATCTATTTCTTTTAGGTATTCAATATGCAACGAGTCTAATTTAGACCCAAACTATAAATAAAAAGTGCATACATCAATAAATATTTATGTTTGTTCCGTTCCACGACATAATTTCTAACCGACTGCTGCAGAATGCATCTATTGGATTCGCCGATCAAGTTGGCTACTACGAAACGGTTTACCAAGTACTGACATCAGAGATGGGATCCGCAGAAGCAAAAACCCTCCTCTCCAAATCCATCTTCGTCATCGTCATTGGCAGCAACGATATTTTCACATATCAGGCAAACACGGCCTCCTCGGAAACCCAAACCATCCCCCCTTCGGATTTCACCAATCTCATGGCAGACAACATCAAAGAGTACGTCACGGTAAGCTATAATTCTAAACTCGATCCATCATCGATCTGTTCTTTTTCTATAACACAACAAACCGCTTTCTGTCAAGAATTAGTTGATCCCAATAACTTGATCGAGTTGCAAAATCCAATGCAGGCGTTGTACGAACACGGGGCGCGTAAGTTCGTGGTGGCAGGGGCGCCGCTGCTGGGATGCACCCCGATGGTAAGGAGGAAGTTCCAAACCCACGAAGCCTGCAGCGAACCACACAACTCCATGGCTGCCACCTACAATCAACAGCTGCAGAATGTATTAGCCGACCTGGAAACCCACCTCCCAAATTCTTCATGCTCCTACCTCGACACCTTCAATATACTCCAAGATCTCATCCAAAACCCTGCACCCCACGGTATGTATGTTTAGCTCGGAAGCTCAATTTTTTCGGTTAAATGAATCGAACCAGTTTAATTAGCAACCCGCTTGATTTACATATTACTTAATTTGGCACGGCAGGGTTTGAAGAAGTGGCTGCGGCATGTTGTGGGATAGGGTATTTGAGGGCATTGATTCCGTGTTTCCCGTTTTCACTCTACTGCTCCAATCGAAGTGATCATGTATTTTGGGATTTTGTTCATCCCACGGAAGCTGCTGCAAAACTCATTGTGGATGCTTTCTTTGATGGCCTTTCTTCTCACCATGATAATCTCAGTCTCAAGCAGATGGCTGCTACTTGACCAGCTAGGGAGATATGATATGTACGTGTGTGTATGTATGTATGTGTATTTGGCTTTAATTTACTCGCGCTTTATAAATAAATAAAGTAAGAAATAAAACGATGTGTTAAATTACGTACGTTTGATCTCGTGCAATGTAATATGTAATAGAAATTCGTGGTTGATGAAGACTTGGTTGATCAGATGGGCCAACAAATCTTAGAAGTTGAGATTCATGTTTCTATGTACCATATGAAATATGAAATCAGGGTGAACAAGTTCAAAATCGAAATATACATCGCGGCCTAAAATCTTAAAATAACGAATGGATGAATATATTGTGAGCTAGTTTAGACGAATGGTGAATCCTTGAAAGGCGGTTCATCAAGACTGTCGGACAGTAAATGACAACTGACATATCCGCGATGGTCGATGAAGAAGTCAAAATCACAATATTCGAGTTATTTGAATCGGTTGGTTCTACCCGAGTTTGATGATGGCTAAGACACAACGAGGAAGAAGTGAAGCCACGAAGAGTGAGATAAAGGTGAAAACTATGTTGTTTCGCCAAGGTGAGCGGATGAGGCAGAGAGAGAACATGCCTGATTAATTGAGATAGAGACAGATAGCGGTAAATGAGTTGAGTTGTATACGAGAGGTTCCATGTTTGATATGAATTTTTTTCCTCTGAAACTTGACTTGTTTACTAACGAGACGAGTTTAAGTTAAGCATTGTTCAGCACGTGAAGTTCGTGAGTTAGCTTGACTATGTGGTTTTTTAACTCAACTTGTGAGCTGATTCATTTTGAACTCATAAAATGTCTCAACATTGTGGTTAGCGAGCCAACTCGATTACCTGCTCATGAACAAATTGATCTATATCTTATGAGTTAGCTCGTTGATAATTCATATGTTTGTTAAATCATATATCTCACCCCATATGATGCTTATGAGTTTGAGTATGTAAGCAAATATGTCTCATGTTTTGTCATGGCACCCCCCACGCAAGCTCCCCCGAGGGACCAAAAAACTCTTTTTGTTTCCCCCCTCCCCTTCGTTGGCACTTGCGGGTTGCGACAACCGTATATGAAAACAACGATTACTGGATATTGTTACTGTCATTTCCCAACAAGCAGCGAATTTGGGATTCAGTGGTGTAATTACAAAAACTAATTATGTATCATTGATGGGGGTAGTTCATTTGTTGATAGTAAGTAGCCTTATCAAGAGTGTGTAGTATTATCTGGTGTTAAATGGGGGACTGAGTCAATTTTGTTACAATGTTAGTACATTCAGGTCCTTCCTAACTTTTTTTTATAGGAACAGTTCCTTCCTAACTAGGGTTATCATGATCCTTGAATTTGGGTGATAGTAAGGTTTAATAATACTACTAGAAGGCAGAAAAGGCTCTACGAGCTCTGGAAAGGAGAAAAAGGACGAAGGCATTACTGCTTCAAAAGAAGGTGATCAAACAAGAACTGAATGAGATTATCCTACAACAAGAAATGAAATGGAAACAACGATCTAGAGCCGACTAGCTCAAAGAAGGCGATCAGAACACAAGATATTTCCGTCAAAAAGCGTCAGAGAGAAGAAGGCACAATACTATTAGAACACTGCAAAATGAAAGGGGGCAAACTTTTGTGGGGCAATAGGGAGTTACAGACTGTTTACTTGACTACATGAAGCAGCTATTTAAAGCAGGGTGCAGGCCGGAGGAGAGTAAAATAATACAAACAGTACATGCAAAGATCACTGAAGAGATGAACCAAAAGCTTCTAAAGCCGTTCTCGGATGAGGAGATCTGGCTGGCACTGAAACAAATGGGGCTTAATAAGGCACTTGAAGCAGATGGAATGCCCGCCAGATTCTTCTAAAGACACTGGAGTGTGGTAGGGCAAGCGGTAAAGGAGGAGTTAAGAGGTTATCTGAAAATGTGAAAATTCCCACAACAGCTAAACCATACCTTTATAGCCCTAATACCAAAGACTAAGAAGCCAAAGACACCCATGGAATTTAGACCAATTAGCATATGCAAGGTACTCTATAAAATAATGTCAAAGGTGTTGGCTATTAGGCTGCAAAGTGTAAACAGAGAAAAATCAAGTGAAAGAGGAAATGTCGAATGAAAGAAATGAGATCAAGCAATTAGGGATTTTGACTAAAGAGTCAACTAAGCAATCGAACCGGTTTCAAACTCTCGGTCAGGCCTCAACTCACAGGAGTACCACAAATGGGCTTTATTAGAACATGCCCACAGATTCAAGAGAACTGATCCGGAACTTGAACTAATCTCGGCCCAAGCTCAGTGAAGAAGGAACAGAGTCGATCATCTTCTTCACAGAGCCAAGACTCTGTTCAGGCAGAGAGACGCAGAACAGAGGATGAAGAGAGGAGAAGGAAGGTGCAGAAAATAAAGTACACAGCCAATTTTTAACGAGGTTCGCCACTGGGCTACTCTCGTCCCAGGATAGTAGCACTATCCTGAGAGACACTTTGATTTTCTTTTTATGACGCAACAAGAACGGAACAATTGAAATACAGACTCTGGTGAGAAAATCAAAATGTCACTAGACTAGGACCAGAATTCTCGCAGGAATTCTATCCACCCTTTGATCAAGCAGAACCTATACCTCAGCTTGAATCAAAGCCACTAATTCCCAAACCCAACCCCTTGTCCTTTGCCACAAGGATTCCCTGTTTGCTTCAGTTCCGAGGCCTTCCCCTGCTGCTCCTTTAAATAGTCGTTGTAGGAGCCGTTGTGGTTTGAATTGATGCAGAAAGGGTAAGTTGAGCAGCTGGCCCTTGATTCGTGATTGATTGATCTGCTCCCCCTTGATTGGTGAAGATTGATCTGCTCCCCCTTGATTGGTGATCTGGCAATCTCCTAACTTGATCCTTAACATCTCAACAATCTCCCCCTAAGTTGGAGATTGCCGATTGTCCGCTTGAAACCTACAAAACAGGATCCACCTTTCCAAGCATGCAATATCTAACTAGTTCTATATCATACGTTAAGCAAAGTTTGAAATAAATATCCACCAAGCATTCAGCAGTCCAAAACCAGAGAGTTTAAACATCCAGCAAGCATTCAACAGTGAAAACTAGAAAGTTTAAATATTCAGCTGGGAAAAGACACGTCCAGCAAACCAAAGACCAAATAGGCAGCATCCAAAGAAGTTAATCGGATCCATAAGTCTCCTGAAGATCAGCTAGCACATCACTTAATGAAGGCAATCCTGAATCAGAATCATCATCATCACTGTCACTGCTGCTACTGTCACTGCTGCTGCTAATCCAATGAACTTCTATATCCTGATTTGGTTCTTCTTCTTCAGCAGGTTCCTCCACTGGTTCTTCGGAGTCTGAGTGAGAATCATCTGAGTCAGAGTCATCCTCCCCCTCAACGGCAATGGCAATCTCGTCTAAGACATCATCAGCAGTGAGAAAAATGGTGGGAGTGGTGGAGCGGAAGGGGTCAAGGGAAATCTCTAGACGAGTGATAAGACGAGTAAGCAGAGGGCCAAAGGTAAGATGACCAAGGTATTCAAAGTACTGGAACATGTACAGATGTCCAAAAAGCAGATGAGAGTAATCAAGAGGGACATTGTTCACAGCATGTTAAATGACCCAGAGATCCAAAGGAATGACTCGATCTAGAAGAACAGTCCTAGGAAGGAATCGATGAGTGAGGAAAAAATGAAAGGTTCGGATGGCAGGGAGCAGGAAGGTGGTGGGAAGAGTGAGCAGGGCATCAGGAGTATGGCCAGTCAGATGCAGAAACTCATGCTCGATATTGAAATTGAACAGCACAAGCTCAGACTCATGGGCTAGAATTTCACCAACCTGAGGAATAGCGAACAGGCGCCTAAGATCCTCAATGGGAATAGTGACCAGATGGCCATAAATCAGGGTTGTGAAGGTACGAGTATCTAGGCCAAAGGAACGAAAGTTTGAGTAAAAAAGGCGAACAACTCAACTAAATTATGAATAAGTTGAGTGAAGTCGAGATCATACTCAACTAGGCCAGCAAAAGGAATCTGATAGGTGGGAATGATAGGGCGACATGCATAAGAAACAGCATGTCTATGAGCATTGGCAGGGATAGGGTCATGGAACAGAGTACCTGTGTAGGTGATGGAGAATTCGAACACCATTGGGAACTCTAGGCTAGACAACTAAGACTCAAAAACTATCGATGAATGACTAGAGACAAACACACAGACCTATAAATAGCATACCACATAGCAAAGAAAAGGAAAACACATTAAAAAGGAAGAAGCATGAAAGGAAAGCAAAAACAGAAAAGAAAAGAAAAGAACAGGCAATCAGATCAGATTCTCCAGATTCTCTGCATTTAATGGTTTAGTAAACAGATCGGCCAGTTGGAACTCAGTTGGAACGTGATTTAATTGTATTAATTGCTGCTCGACTAATTCCCTAATAAAGTGAAACTTAACTTCTATGTGCTTAGTTCTGGAGTGCTGAACAGGGTTTTTAGACATACATATGGCACTAGTGTTATCACAAAATAAAGGAATAGTCGAGGTAGTGATTTTATAGTCCAGTAGTTGGTTTTTAAGCCAGATGAGCTGAGTACAGCAGCTCCCTGCTGCAATGTACTCTGCTTCAGCAGTGGAAAGAGCAACTGCCCCTTGTTTTTTACAAGACCAAGAAACTAATGAAGTTCCTACAAATTGACAAGTCCCAGTAGTACTTTTCCTGTCTGAGAGACTACCAGCAAAGTCAGAGTCACTATATCCTAATAGATTGAAGCTGTCATGATGTGGATACCACAATCCTACTTCAGGGGTTCCTTTTAGATAACGAAAAATTCGTTTTACTGCACTGAGGTGACTTTCCTTAGGGGCAGACTGAAACCTAGCACAAAGACACACACTGTGTTGGATGTCTGGTCTACTAGCTGTTAAGTATAATAAAGATCCTATCATTCCTCGGTATTTCTTTTCATCTACTGATTTCCCAGAAGGATCTTTGTCAAGTTTAAGATTGGTTGCCATGGGAGTAGGACTAGAATTAATTGAGTTCATATTAAACTTTAGAAGCATTTTCTGGAGATATTTCGATTGGTTAATAAAGATTCCTGATGAGCTTTGTTTAACTTGCAGTCCAAGAAAGAATTTTAACTCCCCATCAAGCTCATCTCGAAGACTGACTGCATAGTTTCACAGAATTCAGTGCGTAGTTTTGGATCACTAGACCCAAAAACAATATCATCAACGTAGACTTGAACAATAAGAATATGATT